AGAGGACCATCACTAATTGGATCGTCAAGAGTAATCCACTGAGCGTACAGGAGCAGACACTCTCCGCACGTTCGACCAGATTTCCAGTGGAATTGGGCTCTATATGGTGTCTAATCTTAAAAACAATGTTTTTGGAGGCAATCACCTCTACATGAAGAGTATCTGAGCTGCAGGCGTTGGCCTTGAGGGAACCACATTTTACATCATACCCAGACAGGGTAGTTCTTTCTCCAATCCAGCAATTCCTGCCGAAGGGTTTTATGTAAACTATGAGTAGGCACATTCTGCCTTCAGATCTTCATCCCAGAGAAGTGATCTTCACAAGCTTGAACATCTGAAATCTCCAAGCCACAAAATCCTCAGAGAGGTTACTTGTTCTTCCGAGTGCCGAAAAAAAAAAAATTTAGGACCATCAGTAACTGGATTGTTAGCATTAATCCACTGAGCGTACAGGACCAATAGACAGTCTTTGCACATTCAACCGGAGGAATATCTTCTTCTTGGAGCGGCCTACACCAGTCTCAGCTGAGTCCACCTGCAGGGCAGATAGCTGGTTCCAAAATGTCTTGGTGTGCTGATGCCTTAAGAGTTCCCTTCACTGGAACTAAGGGGCGGAGCCCAACCCTGAAAAACACCCCTCCCCCATAATCCCCCTCCACCAAACTTTACACTTGGCTCAATGCAGTCAGGCAAGTACCGTTCTCCTGACAACCGCCAAACCCAGACACGCCCATTGGATTGCCAGACAGAGAAGCGTGATTGGTCACTCCACAGAACACGTCTCCACTTCTCTAGAGTCCAGTGGCGGCGCGCTTTACACCACTGTATCCGACATGGATGGACTTACTGCACAGCTGGCAACCTATCGCGGTATTACACTTGAATTCACTGAGCTCCTGAGAGCGACCCATTCTTTCACAAATATTTGTAGAAGCGTCTGCATGCCTAGGTGCGTGATTTTATACACCTGTGGCCATGGAGGTGATTGGAACACCTGAATCCAATGATTTGGAGGGGCGTCCCAATACTTTTGGCAATATACTGTATATACTGCTATCAAGACACCAGGAAAAACGTATCACTGTCTACCAAAGTTTCCCTTTCCTGGTGCCTACACAAGGCAGTTGTTCCCACCCTCAGGTTGGTGGTTTTTCAGGTAATTATGAGAATAGCCTCTAAGATATCAAAGGTTTATTTTTAGTCATTGCTGGTCACATGGGAGAATTAGGGGTGGAGCCACGTAGAGGCTCCAGGCAAGGAAATAATTAGCAAACAGCCAGTGAGAAGAAATCTCTGAAAACAGGAACACGGGCAGCCATGAAACGTCAGCAGAGGGATCAGCCACTCAATCCATAATTTTTAAAAAACGTTTTGACTGCCATTTGGCTTAACATTCTTATATGGACTTGTTCAAGTCCAAAGACAGGTGTCCACATCAGGACACAATCCATAGGGCAACATGTCAAGTCACCGGCATAAGTTTTTGTCTACTGAGCCAAGAAGGGTTGGTGGGGGGCCCCGCATTCCTGAAGGAAACAGAGGTAAGAGGGAGGGGCCCTCACATGAGCTGGTGTCCAAAGGTCCATTTTAAGAATCCATAGCAAAGTACTTGGAGACATACACTGAGCGGCCAGATTATTATGACCCCCCCCATCAGTACTTCGTTGGGCCGCCTCGTGACTCCACGAGATGATGAGAGGTGATGCGGGGAATCTGACACGGCACTGTTACCCTTCTGTTGTCTTGTACCAGTCTTGCCCCTCCCCCGTTCTGCCCTAACATTGACGAGTCGCTGACGGCCACAATTTGCACGTTCAGACCCAGATTTTCGGCTGACAGTCCGGTCTTTAAACACTTTAACAACAGCTGCTCTCAAACATTTAACGAATTCTGCTATTTTGCTGATACTCGCTCCATGGCTCCGAGCGCCAACAATCATCCCACGTTCAAAGGCTGTTACATCGCGTTGTTTCCCCGTATCTTCAGAAACAAATCACTTCTACTGTCGTGGTAACCAACCCGCTTCCCTATTTATAATGGTCTGGCCCTCTAGCAACTTCAGCGCCAAATTATAGCTAATTTGCCTACAAAAGTCAGGTAGTCATAATAATCTGGCCGCTCAGTGTATACATTTGGTGCAGGTTGGGGCAGTGACAAGTGGAGGAGCCAAGGAATGGGTAGGGGACACACAGGATGGGTCCCCTACCCATCACTACTGGTTCCACCAGTCCACTAAATAATGGAGAGCAACAAAGAAGGGCATATATACTCAGCAAACTACCCTCATTTCGACAGTTACGCTCCTTCCTTAATACCTGGTCCCGCTTCCCCCTTTCTCTCATGGGCCGTATAGCGGCTATTAAAATGACCTATCTCCCCAAACTTCTATACTTCTTTAGAGTCCTCCCAATTCCTATACCCTCCCATGTCATTCGCATAATGCAGAGACAGGTGATGCACTTCATTTGGGCGGGTCGTAACCCCCGTATCTCTAAACACTCAATGCTGCTCCCTAATCCCTTAGGGGGGTTGGGAGTTCCTAGCATAGCTCAATATTACCGGGCGGCACAAATAGCTCCACTGACCAAATATCAAGCCGTATTAGACACACCACTATGGGTGTCTCTTGAAGCAGTGGACTGCGACCCTCTCGGAGTGCACAACCTACTCTGGTCACCTCCCAAACATCGCCCCCACATATACAACCCGATAACTCTCCACTCACTGAAAATATGGGATTCCGTGAAGTACTCGGGGCATCTCCTCTCCCCTCACTTGCCACTTCTTTCTTTTCTCCACAATCCGGCCTTTCCCCCCGCCATGGAGCATCCTTCAGCTTTCTCCAGATGGTCTGCCGGTAACATAACGCTATTCCGTTCTCTCCTTGATCAAAACGGTATTAAATCCTTCTCCACTTTACAATCTACCCATGACCTGCTGCATACAGATCTCTTCCGTTACATACAAATCCGCCATTTCTTGACCACCATGCTAGGTCCTACACCCACCCGCTCTTCCCTCTCCACATTTGAACACATCTGCTTACATTCTCCACATGCTAAAGGAGTAATCTCCTCACTTTATTCTTCCCTGATACATCCTCCTACTTCCCCTTCCCACTCTTATGTGTCGCAATGGGAGCGTGACCTTGATTTAACTCTAGACGCTGATCAATGGCAGCAAATCTGGGCTACGGTCAGGACCTCCTCTCGATGCGCGGTGGCAGTGGAGACCAACTATAAGGTTTTAATGCGATGGTACTATGTTCCATCTAGATTAGCTCGTATCTCTCCCTCATCGTCCCCTCACTGCTATCGTCATTGTACTACCCCGGGCAATATGCTTCACATTTGGTGGGAGTGCCCGATAGCAGTAAAATTTTGGCGAAAGGTATTCACCTTTATACACTCCCTCACCCGCCACGCCCCACCCTTTCAGCCTGCTATAGCTCTATTAAACTTGAAGCCCGATAATATGAACAACGCGCAGTTCACCTTAATGACACATGTTCTCACCGCTGCAAAGCAAACAATCGCGAAGGCCTGGCTGACCCCCTCTCTACGCTTCTCCGAGACAAAAGCTCGCTTACACACAGTATTTGTTTACGAGAAACTGACAGCTAAACTCCACGATACGATGCAAAAATTCGAAAGAGTTTGGGATCCCTGGATCCGGAAAGGTCTTCCACCCCACTTCGACACTGACCTAATATTTGCGTAAACGAAGATGTAGTCAAAGTACAGCAGCGCTGAATACTGAAAAATGGCCTGGATGGGAAGGGGGTTTAACACCGCGGATGTCAACTGGTTAAACCATCCACTCATGCAACCTTTTACGGTTGACACCCCTCTGAACCTGAACCTTCTTTTCTTTCCCCCCACCCCCATCTTTCCTCTGCCCCTCTCTCTCCCCTTCTGAATCTCTTGATCCTCCCTATTCTTCCCTCTTCCCCTTCCATTCCGCCTCTCCGAATCCGAACGCAGAAACTCTTCCCATCAAGAATCGGGTCAAAACCATTCCTCTATTATTTTAGATCCTAGGTCTTATATGCGCACTTACATGAAGATCCGTTTACTCCAGACCCGTTGCATATGACCTCATGCTATGTATATCTGAACCAACATTCTGATTTATATGTATATCTTGACATATTTCTCTTTTACGACTACGTACCAAAGATTGCGATTTGAAATGTTTCATTGCCTTATTCTCGTAAATTGGTACTATTCGGATTCTGTCCTTTCGAAAACCTTTAAAAAAAATATATATATATATACAAAAACAAAGAAGGGCATATTTGAAGTCCAGTCTGTGTGACAACCATGGCTGACCCCATAGAGACAATGAAGAAGTGTAGACGCAGTTTTAGAAGCACTCCTCTTTGGTCAGCGTGGTCATGCGACTGTGCTGCCCAATGAGCACTCGCCATTTTTTATGCTGGATGCTAAGTGCATGGCTGCAGTGTGGTGTATGGCTGTACACCATCTAATTGGGGGAGGGGGGCTTGGGTTGGGGTTCTTCCACATACAGCTAAACGTCATCACCTTCAGCCCAGCGCCAGGTTGAGCATATGAACTTTGTTACCATGGCTGGCCTTGTGACCCCCCTACCACACTGCACAGGCAGAATTTGGACAAGGCTGGATATAAACAAACCCCACGCTACAGAGAAGAGGTCCTTTCCTTGGACTTCTCACACACCGGTGTCCCCCTCCTCCTCAGCATGTTTCTGTGTTGGAATGTTTTTGCAGCTACTGACCTGGGAATTGTCTTTTGATGAGGTTTGGGAGTGACACCGCTCAGGCCTGAAGTTGCGGTCATTGAGATGGGGAACTATAAGTGACGGCGGATCAACTGTCAGGTTTTCCGCTCCCCGACCAGTTACGAAGCAGCCAATCGGCGTCGGACAGGTGACGTCACGGGTTACGCTGGGCCGGGCCAATGACGCAGGCGGGGTCGTGTGATGGGAGTCGCTGCAGTGACGTCACCGCTCTCAGCTGTTCTCTACAATGGCAGCCGGGGAGGCCTGAGCGCAGGAGACTTACCGGTACCGACCGAACGACCCTTCCCCCCCCACTCACCGACCGACCCCTCCCACCGTCTAGCCGCTTGACGCCTCCAAACCGCGCCCTGCATCGTCCGCCTCCAGCCCTACCTCCACCCTGTGTGTCCTCCACCCATCCCCAGCCTCTTCCACCTGTCACTGATCCCCTCCGCCCTATGTATGTGTGTCCTCCACCCATCATCAGCCTCCATACATCTGTGTCCTCCACCTGTCACTGAGCTCCTCCGCCCTGTGTACATGTCTGCGTGTCCTCCACCCATCCCCAGCCTCCATACATCTGTGTGTCCTCCACCTGTCACTGAGCTCCTCCGCCCTGTGTATATATCTGTCTGTCCTCCACCCATCACCAGCCTCCATACATCCCTGCGTGACCTCCACCCGTCACCAGCCTCCATAAATCCCTGCGTGACCTCCACCCATCACCAGCCTCTATTCATCCCTGAGTATCCTCCACCCATCAACAGCCTCCATACATCCCTGCGTGACCTCCACCCATCACCAGCCTCTATTCATCCCTGCGTATCCTCCACCCATCAACAGCCTCCGTTCATCCCTGCGTGTCCTCCACCCATCACCAGCCTCCATACACCCCTGCGTGTCCTCCACCCATCACCAGCCTCCATACATCCCTGCGTGTCCTCCACCCATCACCAGCCTCCATACACCCCTGCGTGTCCTCCACCCATCACCAGCCTCCATACACCCCTGCGTGTCCTCCACCCATCACCAGCCTCCATACATCCCTGCGTGACCTCCACCCATCACCAGCCTC